TATCTACTGACTGTTAGTGTAGCAAAACGTTCTCCTGTGAAGCATTTTTTAGTAAATACATGTGAACACTTCAACATTTTGAGAAAGATATACAGAATATTTAGAGGTTGTCAGAGCTAGAATACTATGGCTGTCCATCTGTCAGTGTAATGATTCATAAAGGGTGTAAACGAAAATACTAATGCATTTTGTGACAAAAATAGCAATTTCTAGTAACAAGAATTGAATATAAGTAGAGACTGTCAAATTCACCAACTTACTACTCTAAAACCATGAGTTGTACAGAAAGATACAGACACAAATTACACAGAACAAAAATATTTATACCATTGACAGTACGAAATTACTCATTACCTGACTTACAGAATGCTCAAACTCCCCACGCTGGTTCATGTTGTGCCTGATACACTTCCACACTAACTAGCAGATATTGCTAGTTTCCAATACGTTATTCTTAGTGTAATGTTTCTCTCTGTACAAAATATTTAAAAGAACAAAGATTTTATCTGGCAGATGGGTCAAAATAGCAAGAACAAAAAAGATATTCTTATACTCATTTTGCTGAATAGCTGAACTCAACTTGCGGTCATTTCCGTCATATAACAAAGGCTTCTGAGACCATGTTACTTAAGCATTAAGATAATGTTTAATATTTCAGGGCTTTTTGCCATACACAGTAGAAGCCACTCCCACACAGCACTGCTGGAAATGATAAATCCATTTCTATTAGCACTTCCATTATAATATTGAGAATTTTGATAACCTGACTTAGTTGCAAAGATTTCTGAATAGCTGTTGATAAGCACATTGATAGACAATATAGAACAGGAATCTTAGAAAAGGAAAGGTGAGGACTTTCCTCTGAAGTTTTGCTGAAATTTAAATAAGAATAAATGTTTTGCTGACTGCTGTTCCTAAGCAAACAAGGATTTATTCTAGTATGGAAGGTTTGTATTAAGCATATGGAGTAGAGACAGACAAGTTGGTTCTTGTATATTTGGAGCAGAATCACTGACCTTCCAGGACTGTAATGTAGAAGTGTGCAGAAACTAATCTTCTGATACAGTTTCAGTAAGTGGTGACGCAGCACTACTGAGTCCAAAATTACCACCATGATGAGCCAGGGAGCTGAGACAGATGAGTGCAGTCAGCATCCAGTTAGCCTTTGCTCAGTCACTGGGCTGGAGTAACCAAGGTATTATCAAGACTTGTGAAAAGTGGAGTCAAACTCAAGAGTGCATCCCTCTCTTCCCCCCCCCCCCCCCCTAAAATCAATGTGGAGATGATTTTTATTTATTTATTTATTTTTTAAACTGTGTGAAAGAGGTGCCTTTTTATACCTAGTACAGTAGTGACTGGAGAAGTTCCTTCACCAGAGGGGATTTTTACTCCTTTCTTCCTCCCAAGTGTTGTATTTTAATACTAGGCAGCACTGGCTGTGTTATGGAGATGAACCATGAGCCAGAGTGAGGAGGCAGGGTACCCCACATTTCCTCTTTCCTCCAGGTTATATAGTACGTGCAAGCACGGACTGCCTTCTGCCCTGGCTGCAGGAAAGCATCAGCCTCCTGTAAACAGCCATTTAGGTAGTTATTTGAGTCCTGTACAGTGGAGAGGAGGCTGGACTCTCTCAGGCTGCAGGGGGCAGGGAAGGGTCAAGTCCCAGAGCAGTACATTTTGGACAAAATGGAGTTTGCTGTTGGCATCTACTTTTTACAAGAAAGTGGTCACCAGCAATGTAATTTGCGTGGTGTGGAGGTCCTCTAGAGCTCTGGTCCATGGAGCTGGAGATGATGAAAAGCCTAGGTTTGTGGATGTGAGAGGTGCTGTTGTACAGGGGAGTGATAAACATGTAGTCATGTCTGACGGGGGAATATCTGACCTGGTCCATCACTTCAACTGTCTGCACCTTTCGGACATCAGAGCAGTTCTTGAATTTAATTTCTTTATGGCAAGGCAGTAATTCATTGAGGGGTAGGAAAGGGGGTAATGTTCAGGTTCATGCTCCTGGCCTCCAGCACTTTGTCCTGCCCACTTGCAGATATAGTGCTATGATTCTCTCCAGTGCCTCACCAAAGTCTGTGCTGGTCCTAAGCCAGAATGGGTCTTCCTTAAGTAGCTTTTATTTCTGTGGGGTAAAAAGTAGTTGAAAAGTTAATTTCTTTCAACTGCAAAATAGTAAGTGGCTACTGTGTGAGAGTTATTTAAATGCTCCCTTGTATCCTGTTGTACTTACTAACAGAGAATACTGCTGCTTTCTGCCACCAAAGTAGGGCACTTCAGAAGTGTGAAACGGTGCTTGTGAGCTTTTGAGTTCTATTGCTAGCATCCAGTCTGTATTCTAAAACACTATATTTTTTTTTGTCTATTTCTGTTGACTGCTGCTTTTCTGTTTAAATCATATAATGTTTCACCAAGACTTTAAAAAAAGTTGAGTGCAGTGGATTCACTGAGGCAATACACAAAAAATTTCTTAATCCACATGGTACTACTAATAGTGGTTTTCCAGGAGGTCTGTCTTGAAACTCTTGCACATGATCTTCCTCTACTGGGTCTGCGACCTCAGAGATTGTTCAGAAAGTCTGTGAAAAACTAATGGAAGTTTTAAAATTAAAACACCAAACCATTCAAAGAATCCTTCAACATTAATTTAAGCAAAGGTAAATTAGGTTGGTTGTGTGGCACATACTTTATGTCTCAGGTTGCTCCACCCCTGTCCTGGGTTCAGCTGTAACAGTTATTTTTGTCCTTAGTAGCTGGTGCAGTGTTGTGTTTTACACTTTAGTCTGAGAACACTGCTGATAACACACTGTTTTAGTTGTTGCTAGGGAGCGCTTACCCTGATCAAGGACTTTTCAGTCTCTCATGCTCTGCCACTGAGGAGGGGCACAAGAAGCTGGGAGAGAGCAGAGACAGGACAGCTGACCCAAACTTTCCAAAGCGGTATTCCATACCACAGCATGTCATGCCCAGTATATAAACTGGGGGTAGTTACCCAGACGGCCCAGATCACTGCTTGAGTCAGGCTGGGTATCGGTCGGCAGGTGGTGAACAATTGTATTGCACATCACTTGTGTTTATTGTTGTCTTTTTCCCCTTTTAGTTCATATTCTCTCCCCTTGTTATTTCCCTGATCATTGTTATTATTGGTGGTGATAGTAGTAGTTTTGTGTTATACCTTAGTTACTGGACTCTTCTTATCTCAACCCATGGGATTTACATTCTTTCAGTTCTCCTCCCCATCTCCCTGGAAGCAAGGAGGGAAGAAGGAGGGGAGTGAGTGAGCAGCTGTGTGGTTCTGAGTTACTAGCTGGGCTTAAACCACGACAGTCCCATACTGGACTATATGTAGAATTGGGCATGCTTGTTCTAGCCCCTTCTACTGTGTGGGTTTTCTGCCAAATTGAGGCTTCTGACTACAGCTACTAAACACAGACTTTTATAATAAATTATTATTCTTCTACAGCTCTTGTGATCAAAACAGTGGCATTAGTTAGTCTTCAGCTACCTGCCAACAAAACCAAACTAATTTACCGTTTCATCTTTTGGCAGTACACATGACTTATGTTTTACAGGGTGTCTGCCATCAAACTGATCTTAAACCTCTTGCAGCTTTTTGCTAAGAGTGGAAAATGTTATGTAATAAAAATAAATTAAGACAAAGAGAGTTGATAATTTAAATGTTTAGAACTGGAAAGTAGTCCAGATTGTGACATGACCTTGTCCAGTGCCAAGCAGGCAAAAGTGAGTAACTAGAATGTAACATGAGTACAACTAGCAGGGTAAGAAAGTTCTTTATCCTCTTTATTCATCAGTTGTGAGGCTGCAGTACTGTGTGCAAGTGCTTTTGGATTCCGAGTGCAAGGAAGATGTTAATGCAGTGGAGCAAGTCTACCAGATGGTGCTAAAATTAATGGAGTATATAACATACAAGAGAAAAGAGAGAGAGACGGGTTTGTTCAGTCATAAGCAAACTAAAAGATATTACTACTGTTGTCAGCCACCTAATGGAAAACTGCAGAGAAGATGGCGCTGGACCTTTCCTGGAGGTGCACCATTAACAGAAGGAAAAGGACACAAGGTCCAACAACAGAAAATCCGGTTGGATTTAAAATATATTTTTACCATTATGGGGATCAAAAAATATTTTTTCACCATGAAAGTGGTTAAATAGGAAAACGTTTCCCAGAGAGTCTCCATGTGGAATCTCCCATGTTGAATTTCCTGAAAACTCAAATGGACAATTCTGTCAAGAAACTGATCCAGTTGGAATTGATATGAATTAAGGATTGGTGTATACAGTCTCCAGAGCATCCTTCTGGGACCTAGCCATGATTCTATGAACAGAGTTATTACAACTACTGTCTAAGAAAAAGAGGCAATAGCTGCTTTGACAGGATAACATTTGTATACATTTCTGAATAGTGCTAAGTAGATATTACCTAAATAAGTAAGGACAAATCAACACAAGAGCTGAACCCTGTTATTCTTCTCTAAAGACAGCTGGATTTAGACCTTTCGGATGTTCTAGTGTTCTTTCTGTACATACTCAAATATTAACGCAACCATATCACTTCAGTGAGACAACCAGCAGTTCTAAAGTTGCCAGTTCTAAAGTTGCTCTAGTCAGGTTAGCTTTTCCAGTGCAGACTTTTCTGCTAAATAAATCAGAACTACCTCAGAAACTACAGTTGTAAATGATTGCACTGATTATTGATTAAATAGGGAACTGCATAATCGCTTTACCACAGAACATGATTAATTTGATGTTACTGGTTGATTACTGCCACAGAAGCACGGTTATGACTTCTGGGTTGATTAGCACTCGGAATTCTTTGTTGCACTGAAGCTATAAACACACACAATTCTGAATAATTTAATTCCATTGTACCTATATATTTATAAGGAGGCTTTTAAAAATGAAGACATAAAAGGGAAGCATACAGGACGTAGAAGCAGGGATAAGTGATCTTGGAAAAATATGAAGACACTGTCCAAGCATGGATAAAGACATGGTTAGGAAAGCCAAAGCTCACCTGGAGTTGAATCTGGCAGGGAACAGGAAAGGCAATAAGAAAGACTTCTACAGGTTTATCATCAGCAGAAGGAATATCAGAGAAAAGGTGGGCCTGCTGCTGAAGGTATCTAGTGGCATAGTGAACAAGGATATGGAAAGGCCTGTAAGGTACGCAGTGTTATCCCATGTCCCTGAGATCAGTGGGGAAGTTGAAAGCAAGAAAGTCCCTGAGTGGAGGGGCTGTCAGGTTAGAGAACATCTAAACAGATTGAGTTTGTATCAGTCCGATGGATTCACTAGTGCTGAGGTAGCTGGACAATGTCATCAAGAGGCCACTCTTGATTAAATTTGAAAGGTTGTAGTTACTGGGAGAGGATTCTGAGGGGTGGAAGAAAGCAAATGACAGCCTTCTATGGTGAGATGACTAGTTTGGTGGATGAAGGGAGTGTAGTAGATATTGTTTGTTTTGGCATTTAACAAGGCTTTCTAATACTTTAGATCCCCACAGACAAGCTGAAGAAGTCTGGACTAGGTAAGCAGACACTGAAATGGATTGAAAAGTGGCTGGACTACAAGTTTCAAGAGGTTGTGACCAGCAGCCTGAAGTCTAGCTGAAGACTAGTCACTCGTGGTATACCTGAAAGGTAGATACTGGGTCCCGTACTGTTTAATATCACCATTAATGACCTGGATAAGTTTGGCACAGAACTAGGAGGAGTGTTTGGTAGATCAGATGGATGTTCTCTCATTCAGATGGATCTCAGCAGGCTGGAAAAAATGGGACAGTGGGAACCTCAAGAAGTTCAAGAAAAGGAGATACAAGCCCTGCATTTGGGGAGGAATAATCCCATGCACCAATACATGTTGGCACCAAATGGATGGAAAGCACCTTTGCATAAAAGGACCTGTGGGTCTTGTCAACAAACTGAATGTGAATCAACAATGTGTTCCAGTGGCAAAGGTGGCCAACAGCCTCCTGGACTGCATCAGGAGGAAGAGCACTATTCTATGATTCTATGATCACAAATTCTTTAACTTTTATGCTTTGTTTTTATCACCCTTGAAGTGATTTTGAGGTCCTTTATAGAATGAGAAGCAACTGAAGTGATACATTGCCCTTCTTTCTTGGCCTCTGAATCTTCAGTGTGCATCACCTTTCAAAAAGAGTCTCATTTTAAGTTAGACTTGCTCAGATTACAACTTCAATTACAATACCTGTTAGTCTGTGATAATTTAGTTGACACTGTATGCAATTAAATATTTCTGTTGCGTGGTTATAATAATGCCCCCACCAAATAAAAGGGCTGAAATGTCATGTATAAAACACATGGATTAACAACTTTTTTCTGTATTTACTTTTATTATAATAAATCTCTTGGCAGTCAACAAGTCCAAACTTCCTTGTTGGCATTTTGTTTCATGATACAAAGGATAATTATGTGTGTGGTTTTTTTAGTGTCTCAGCTGTCACAGAGTTAAATAACTGCTGGAAAACTTAGCTGGAAGGAGGATTATTTGCTCTTATTTAGTATCCATTGTGTGGTTACTATAATATGTGACTTAAATATTTAGAAAATTACTCTCCTGCTTTATACCTGGCTCTTTAGAGTGGCAGAAACCTTTTTTAATCAGGTGCTTTAGCTGTCATATGACTCCTTTGTTTCTTACCTGCTGCTTGTTGTCTATCAGTTTCAAGAATGCTGTAAGTTTTCCCAGTGTATTTCAGTCTGCAAGGAAATAATTAGAGTGCATCAAGAGGAGCGTGGCCAGCAGGTTGAAGGAGGTGATCCTGCCCCTTTACTCTGCTCTTGTGAGACCTCACCTGGAGTATTGTGTGCAGTACCGGTTCCTCAACATAAAAAGGACATGGAACTGTTGGAATAAATCCAGAAAACAGCCATGAGAATGATCAGGGGACTGGAGCACCTCCCTTATGAAGATAGGCTGAGAAAGTTGGGACTGTTCAGTGTGGAGAAGAGAAGGCTGTGTGGAGACCTCATAGCAGCCTTCCAGTATCTGAAGGGGGCCTATAGGGATGCTGGAGAGGGACTCTTCATTAGGGACTGTAGTGATAGGACAAGGGGTAATGGGTTAAAACTTAAACAGGGGAAGTTTAGATTGGATATAAGAAGGAAATTCTTTCCTGTTAGGGTTGTGAGGCACTGGAATGGTTTGCCCAAGGAGGTTGTGAATGCTCCATCCCTGGCGGTGTTCAAGGCCAGGTTAGACAGAGCCTTGGGTGACATGGTTTAGTGTGAGGTGTCCCTGCCCACGGCAGGGAGGTTGGAACTAGATGATCTTAAGGTCCTTTCCAACCCTAACTGTTCCATGATTCTATGATTTTATATAAATTTGTTTAGAATATTGCATTTGTACACAGAATTTGTAAGCTTCACTGCAGTTATAGCAGATAGCCCAGTGAGTACATTGGGAATTAATAGAGTTCAGGAATTTCTTTAGTGGAAAATTTCCCAACATTGCATGATTCACAGTAAAGATTTCTTATAGGAATAAATTATGAAAACTTCTCTTTTAATGCTGCTTTTCTTTTATTTTTGGATAGCGATACTGGGAATCACCAGATGACTTTGCTAGAGGTAGTCTAACAACATTGGCTACAGTAAATGAGCGTGTTGTTGCACCTCAGTAGACCTTAGAGTATGTGATACAAGGCAGATTTTTCATTCTGCCTCTGCTATTGGCCTTATTTTAGTATATAGTCTAAAATAACTTACAGTTCTAGATATCTCTGACAATCTTTTTCAGTATATAAAAACTATAAGCAGACAGCTCCCACCTCTCTACTCCATGCACCCTCACTCCAAAAGAATAAATCCTAGTCATTTAAACCATCTTCCAGTTATCCCAGAATTTTATTTATGAGAGTGAGATGAAACTATGCGATTAATAATAGATGGAAAACAGCACATGCTATTGTATCCTCAGGTGGAAACCTGTTTGGGAGCTGAAAGTTACTTGTGCAAAGTTGGATGTAACATTACTTTGGAATCTCAGATTTAGGCCTGTTTGGACAGCACCAGTCTAAAAATGATTGTTATGTTTATTTATGAGCATAACTGAACTTTCCAGCATTTTTTGTGTTTTTCTTTTTTCAGATGTCATTCTGTCACAAGGATTTTGTTTCAGAAACCTAAATCATGCAAAGGGTAGCTCCAGAGGTCGGCTTTAATCCATAGTGAGTATGACTTTCCAGAAAGCATTTAAAGATTCCTGTTTAAAAAATTTTTGTCTTCTGTGAATTGTGAGAATGTGATCCTACTATAAACAAAACATTAAACTAAATGGCTTTCAAAACTTAAAGATAAGGCATTATTTGAAGTTACAGCACCAATTTGCAGTTGTGGCTTTGCTATTGTCAATAGGAAACAATGTTGTAGGATTCCAAACCATGCAATTTAGAGTCAAATATTGTCTGCCCTTATAGAATATGGATGTTGGAACAGAGAATTTTCAAGAGAATTTTCAAGAGATTGAAGTATATGGCTTTTCATGCTCTGCAAGTGACAGGAATACTCATTGTGTATAACCCAAAGATATATTCAGTGGAAAGTTGTTCTTATATGCTTTAATTATATGTAATCATGTAACTACATGGTGCTTTTGAATACTTGTTACAGATAAAACAATGACACCTTCCAACTTAACTAATCCTGTTAGTGACATTTATTACATATATTAATAACTTGGCAGAGAATAAACAAGAGCAATGTACACAGTTGCTCAGACTGTACATTAAGCACAGTTTAGTATTTGGTGACAGACCAGAAGCACAGGTCTTTAAAACCATTACATGTGTCAGTATTTCACAGCAGGAAGAACTGCTGTGACCATGTCCTGAGCTACCAGAGCCCTGTGAAAATGACAGCGAGTAGCACAGAACTGAGCACAGCCAGTAAGTCAGGGCAAAGGAGATGTCTCTGCTGTATGGTGGTGCAAGGAGATGAGGTTTGTTTGTCTTTACCAAGGAGCTAATGGTGGTTAAGGTGCTATTCTGAAAGGCTGGAAGAGAGGCTTTAAATGCTGAGCTTGAGTTTCTGTGAACATCCCTGTATTTTTGTGCTGAATGTACTCTGCACAACATGATTAAAGACTGTCCTTCTCAGACCAGACCTCTCAGGAGATACAGGGTGGGCAACAGTGAATAGTGGCTTTTAGTCCTTGGTCTGAGACAGGAACCAGGTTGTTTTGCTTTCTTCTGTGGCCATACCTGTGGACTTGCTCTGAAGTGCCATTCAGATGGCAAGAAAAAACATGTGTCAACAAGCTTGGCAGCAGTTTAAGAATTGCAGTTTTTTGTTTAAGGTTTGGAATCTTTTCTGGGCCCTTGTGTATGGGTTGTTCAGTCTGGAGAAATGAAGGCTCCAGGGAGACCTTGGAGCTGCCTTCCACTACTTAAAGGTGGCCTACAAGAACACTGGAGAGGGACGTTTTAGAAGGACATGTAGTGATAGGACAAGGGGGGACGGCTTTAAACTGGACGAGGGTAGATTTAGATTAGATGTTAGAAAGAAATACTTCACTACGAGGGTGGTGAGACACTGGCACAGGTTACCCAGGGAAGTTGTGGGTGCCCCATCCCTGGCAGTGTTCAGGACCAGGTTGGATTGGACTTTGAGCAGCCTGGTCTAGTGGAAGATGTCCCTGCCTGTGGCAACGGGGTTGGAGCTTTATGATCTTTAAGGTCCTTTTCAACCCAAACCATTGTATGATACTCTCACTATGCTCCTGGGTCCTGACAGAGCTGACCCAGCAGCTGAATACTTGTCTGCTTGGTGCTTGTAAGATGGAGATGATTCTGGGCTTTCCCACCTGGAAAACCGTAAGCATTGGTGGAAATTTCATGCTGAAATATAAAATGTCTATGGTGTTAGGAAACAACTGAGATAGTGGACGACTGCAGTTCTGGTTTCAAGAATGAGTTCAGTGAGATTTAGACTCCCAAATGTTTTTCTTGCTTTCTCCCCAAGTCCGTAAGCCCATGATATACGTCTGTCTGTTAAAAATGCAACCATTTAATGAATAGCTGTTATGCTGTAAGAAGGGAATTGAAAATCCTAAATTATTCATTGAAGAATTTTAGAGCCTTAGTAATTCTGAGGTTAAAATCCATATCTGATCAGGCATGTTATTAAGTGTCTATTG